GATATTTACTCATGGCTGATGATTCTCTAAGAATTTGCATAATCTTTGAATGAGGATCAAGGGCATCATTGGACTCTATGAAACATTGACAATTAATTCGTAAACGACTTTCGAGCCGAATTCATTAAAAACTAATTACACTAACTAATTTCCTGGTTGTTAAATCGAGGTTGTGACGAACTCTGTCGAATAATTTGTGTTCTTTTGGTACATTGAATATATGTTGCACTAACTGCTGTTCGGAACCCTGTCGGCGAAGCAGCTAATAGTCTATGAATTTTTGCGAAGGACATAGAAAATAACATTCAAAAATTTCCGTGTACATATTTATGATAATCTGTGTTTGTACCACCATTACTTCATGTTGATATATTTTTACACTAATTACAAAAAACCAGTTGATTATAAGCATGAGTAAAAAATCATTGAAAAGGATGCCACCATCATGGCCATCCGAAGTCGAGTATCTGATTGATAACACTTATGAACCTTCATCGTTGGAACCTCAACCCTACACCGTTCCATTATCAAATGATCATCCAATTCATCCGTTTACTTCGTCTCCATTACTTCCAGTCGCCTCTGATCCTCACATGCCAAGTTCATTAGTAAAAATAAAGTCCTTGGAAAATGTAAAATCGTTGAATGAACAAACAAATCATCCGGCATATCCGGGTTACGGACTGTTTGCAACCAAAGATCTCAAGGAACAGACTCTTATTCTGAAATACACTGGTGTCGTGACATCTACAAAAAACGAAAGTATAGAACAACGCAATGGGAAAGGCAGCGATTACGAATTGAGGTTTAACGAACACTATTGCATCGACGGATTAAAGAAGGGAAGTGAAGCGAGGTTTATTAATGATTATCGTGGAGTTCTCACAAAGCCGAATGCGATATTTCATGAATACATTGATCTGCACAGTGGACGGGTGAAAATGGGAGTCTGGGTGAGACGGGGTGTGGTGAAAATCCGGAAGGGTGAAGAAATTATGGTTAGCTATGGAAAAAGTTTTTGGAGGGAAAGAGGAATACTAAATGATTAAAGCGCGATGAAGTATTTGGGATTTTATTTATGTATTTGTGTAATATACAGTATAATAAATAAATAGTATAGTTATAATAAGTTCAATAATTTCTTGATTTTTTTATTCGTGTAAATAATTTATTTAAAAAAAAGAAAATTGAAACAATATATTGTTGCTAGTAAAAAGAGGAAACATACGAAACGGCAACGTAAATAACCGAGACAATGGCGAAGCTGGTCATAATGGCAATCGGTACATCTCTCTGCGGATTCTTTGTCTCTTGCGCGGTTGTTGAAATTGAATCGAACCCGATGAACGCAAAGAATACTACACTAGTACCGGCCAAAACACCAGTGATACCAAATCTCGAGAATGTACCTTCGTTTTCTGGAATGAATGGTTGATAGTTTTTCGGATTCACACGCGTCCCAGCGGCTATGCAAAAGATTATTATCACCAAAAGTTTTATGCTGACAACTGTGGTGTTTACTCTAGCGGATTCTTTAATTCCTATTGTCAACAGTATAGTGAGAAAAATCACAACCAAGAAAGCTGGCGCGTTGAAATAGGCATCAGGGACGATTTGAAATTCGCCTAATACGACATTGTATTTTACGGGAGCACTGGTCCAAGATTTCGAAAATATCACACCACAGTCAGCAAAGAAACTGACGAAGTAGCCCGACCAACCTTTGATACGAATGAAAAAATTAACATTGTTAAAATTCTTAAATAAATATAATCTGATTAACCATAGACTCGGGGGCATACCAACGGCAACTGCAGCGGCACCGACTAAATATTCCAAGATCAAGTCCCAACCAATTATCCAGGCGATAAGCTCACCCATTGTTGCATATACAAATGTATAAGATGAACCTGAAATCGGGATCATGGAAGTCAACTCGGAATAGGACAGAGCCGCGAAACTGGCAGTAATTCCAGCCAATAAGAATGAAATGACCACGGCCGGTCCAGACTTTGTAGCAGCAGCTTCGCCTGTTTAAAACAATGAGTTTGTCTCCTGGCAACTTTCGTGAGGATTCAATTTTAAACTTACCAGTTAACACAAATATACCGCTGCCAATTATCGCACCCAAGCTGATCATTATTAAATCATAAAGACTTAGAGTTTTAGCAAGATTGGAATTTTGCCTATCCTCATCTAAGCTTGTTAGAGTTTTTAGCGTAAACAACTTTCGAATGTGATATTTCCACTTGCTTTCATCGGGTTGTCTTGGGGCACCGGAAGTCAGAAAGTTGTATCCCGACATTGTAAACTATTGCCGTATTGTTAGTTAATTAATATTGACAGCTTTATAGGAATTTGTGGGAAAGACAATTAAGTGCGTATTGGAAACTTTGAATTCTTATAAATAGAAATCATGCATGATCGCATGGCCTGAGATGTAACTTTAAATATATGAATTGAATGTATTTGGAAAACTATGGGTACGGTAATTTTTTTTTTTTTTATTTCATTAAGGGGTGAAACGTTACGTTGCTTCTTAAAGTAAATGAAAGTAAATGACGGTAGCGATTGAAGAAAAACTTGTCGCACAATACCGAAAATTAACTCGGGATACTTTGTGTCAGAATTTCGTAATTCCGAATGATTCTAAAATTATGCATTCAACGAGACAGAGTCAAGATCATGTGAAATCAATGATGGTAAGGAACATTTAATATTTATGTAAAAATTAGGGGGCGAGAAAAAATTTTTTCCACCCACACTTTCATATAATGAGCATTTTTCTCGCCACATATACCTGAACGAATCCGGGTTTGCTTTACTAATGTTACTGGTTTTTTACTTGCGCTCCTTCGAACATGGCTTATGTAAACCAGAAATTTATTATTGCTTCAGCCCGATCGTGTCAAATCCGACTTTTTGTTCGCGACCCTTCAAACGCTATAAAAAGTCACTGTCTATAATAAATCATTATTATTGTTTTGTCTTTTTAAGATTAATTAAATTAACATCAATATTGTGTAGCAGAAAATATGCCTCGTTTTTCTGTTTTGAAGATCCTTTCTACTATGGTAATTTTGCCAAACAAACAAACGACGATTCTATTGTAACACGGCGTTCTCGTCAATGCATATGCAACGCATAGGGGAGGTGATTCTGTGTGTAACCATCCATTTATGTTGATTATTTTATTTCACTTTCTAACTAATTTAGTAGTGAATTTCGGTTAATTATGCGACACCAAAGACCATAATTTATCAGCTTGTGCATGATCTCTTTTTAGTTAAAAATCAAATGACAGAATACTTCGTATAAAATAATACAACATAATATATACAATAGAAATAAATTATAATTGATTTTTAACTTGTATCTTTGATAATAAACATAAATTCACAATTTCAATTTTTATAATCATTGATAAAATATAAATTTGCTATTAATTATACATTGTATATATTGATACAATAATTTGATTATACAGTATATGAAATTTCACAAATTATTTGCATTAAATTTTTTTAATAATTCGAAAAAATTATTTTAAAATATACAGTATATTGCTATTTCAAATAAAAAATTATTTATTTTTACCAAAGAATTTATAATCAATTAGATTGATGCACATTACTTGTGTCATAACAACTTTTAAATAATACGTTTTAATAAATTTTAAATAAAAGATTTTTTAAAATCAACATAATAAACTTTTTTATGACAAATTTGAAATTAAATAGTCAATCATATCATTATAAATAAACTCAATATACTTTATAAACTTTTCCATGCTATTGAAAGTAGCTAGTCGTGTGACTAATATGTATAGGTTTTTAAAATTTAAAAAAATACTTTATGAAAACAGGCAATAATAACAATAATATTCGAAACAAATCACTCTAACAAAGATGATCCCTTTATTTGTATTTAAATTTTGAAACTCTCATGAGTGTTCTTTCGAATTCTGAATTCCTTAACAAAATTCAGACACATGAATTTAAAAGTAAATTATTACGACCTTTCGTCTAAGTCTGGTTGATGCTTTATTTCAAGTAATAAAATTTTAAACAGGCAATATTTACTTACCCTGGATGTTCAATTCCTAGTAAACACCGGAATGTCCATTTCATCAGATCTTCTGTATGTAGAAGGTAATAGACCTGCAACATATATATATATGTAATAACCGGACACAAGTTTCATTAATTGTCAATTTCAATTATTAATATTACCAAAAGAACGAGCACGTTTGATGGCTTTGGCCAACTTTCGCTGATTTTTTGCCGTCAATCCTACAAGATTGATGACAACAGAAACATATATTAAATTATGCTTATCACAAAAGATATGATAAAACTTTGAAATCATACCCGTTTGCCTTCGTGGAAGAATTTTACCCATGTCTGAAACAAAGTTTGATAGTAAACTAAAATTCTTTTTTTTTTTTGGCGCAATACGAAAAGGGAGTTAGAACAATGCTCATTCATGAATAAAAAGACGATCATAAATTTCGAAATAAAACTTACCTTATATTCTACCAAAGGGTTAATATCCAACCTTTGAAATATATCAACATTGGGAACCGCTTTTCTATATCT